CCAGCTCTGGAGCCCTCAGCACAAGAAGGACATGGAGCTGTTGAAGTGGGTCCAGCAGAGGGCCACAAAAATGATCAGAAGGCTGGAACACCTCTCCTGTGAGGACAGGCTGAGAGAATTGGGGCTGTTCAGCCTGGAGAAGAGAAGGCTGCAGGGAGGCCTTACTGCAGCCTTCCAGTACTTAAAGGGGGCCTACAAGAAAGATGGGGACAGGCTTTTTAGCAGGTGCTGTTGTGATAGGACAAGGGGTAATTGTTTTAAACTAAAAGAGGGTAGATTTAGACTGGATAGAAGGAAGAAATTTTTTACAATGAGGGTGGTGAAACACTGGCAGAAGTTGCCCAGAGAAGTGGTAGATGCCCCATCCCTGGAAACATTAAAGGTTAGGCTGGATGGGGCTCTGAGCAACCTGATCAAGTTGAAGATGTCCCTGCTCACTGCAGGGGAGTTGGAACTAGATGACCGTTAAAGCTCCCTTCTAACCCAAACCATTCTGTGATTCATGATAAGAGTGGATTGACTAGTTAGTTGGGGTTCTGGGAAGGGAATGACCAACAGAGGTTAGCTAATCGAAGTGCTTCCTCTGGGCACCCAGCAGGAAAGGCCCACTGCCAGAAATCGCTCATCCTCCCCTCACAACCCAATAATTGAAAGCTTGATTGTTAAAATTAGCAAGGACAACAGAACAATCTAGTAATGGGACAGACAGACCTAACGTTGCCCACACCAAGTGGTCGTCTCTCTGACTGTGGAAAAGTAAAATGAAGACAGATAGCCACTTGGCCAAAGACCAACTCTGATTTCTCACCATTTTCTTTAAAAGTGCTTGTGAAAGTAGTGCGTGAAAGAGCAAGAACACAAAGAACCTACCCCAAAGTTGGAAGGCCCACTTATTCAAAACAGTGCTATAAAGCACTGATGAATGGTGTCATCAAAAGCCACTATTTTCAGGAATTTGTGGATTTCAGATGATTTATCTATAAACTGTATGGGAATTAAAATGACATTTTTAATTAAACTTTTATATAAAGACTCACTAATTTGATTCTATACAAGTATCCTGAGAGTATAGCATTTATTAAAAATCACATCTCCACTACGGAATTGTGGAAGGAACCAGGTATAAGATTATGTTATTCCAAATCCTATGTTTTTACTTTTCATAATTTACAGACAGTCATTGCAAGTAGAAAAATATTATGGATTTAATCCATATTCAATTATGTAAGACTTAAATAAATAGGAAGTATTTTGGATTTATTCCAACAAAAAAGGTGGTAGTTTGTAAGCACTGCTGATTCCACTGGAATGATGAATTAAAGCTACAGTATCAGACAACATGACATGGAAGCAGCAAAGCGGTGGTGTTGGAGGCGGTGAAAACCAATAGGGTGTATTTAAATTCATGCCTTTCATTCTCTCAATTTTTTCCCCCACTTATGCAAGTGGGGAAAATAATATACCATTGTGGGGTTTTAATCTCAGTGATTTAACTAATTGATTGTCTCAGCAGTAAGGTATCTTTTTGTGCTGTTTTTTTTTGACTACTAATTCTAGCACATCTAGAACTAGAATGACATAGATAGATAGACAGAGAGACAGATAGATAGATAGATAGATAGACAGATACATACATACCTACCTACATAGTATTTTAACTAATCTGCTCCAGACATAATCCATTCCTCCATCTTATAAAGTCTTGCAGTTGACAGTCATTAAACCTTCAGGATCCAAAAAATATCCATTGAAGCAAAATTCAGCTCATCTGTTAAATATTCAAGAATTTATACTATTACATTTTCTATAGATGTTTGGCTTTGAACTCAAACACTATTTAACTATACCAGTCCCTGGTTTTCCATTGTTTCCTGCTGCCAGAGATCACATGAGGGTCTATTTCTCTTCATTATGATTTGGTTACAAGTCAGAAGACTCTTGCAGCCCCTCTCATGCGAAGACCATTTTAAATACAGCTTCTGCTGTGCTGACTGGTGCTTGAGATCCGCTGAGGCACTGCAGGCACTGGAGACTGTGCTCCAGGGGCTGCAATGCATTCCAGTCCCTGCTTTTACAAAGGGCGTCAGAATAATGGAGTATCTTTGCTTTAATAAAGCAAATGTCACAGTCCTTAGTCTGGAGACTTTGTTGAGTATTTACAAACTTCTCTGTAGTAGTAAGGTCTCCGGACAGCTGTGGGCATCTAAGCCAAAACACCTTGTTAGCAAGTGGCTTGGATGTAAGTCATAATATTCTGCTGCAGATAGCAGGCTGTATCATTGCTTTACCATTAGAAGGAGCAGAAAGCACTCCTTGTTAGGTAGTTGTAAAATGCATATAATTTCCCTGCTCAAGCAGTTTGAGGTCTTTAACAGGTTTATTCACAATTTTCATGTACAGGTTGCTCCTTCTAGGGATTTTACCTCAGGGTAAGGATGCAATTAGTGTACACTAAACAGCATAGCCATGAACCTGTATGTGGTCAGTTTGATAAAGCAAGCTTCTTGCTTATCTTAATGCATCAAATATAGAGAAAAGAACCCCTCTGAGGGAAGTGGACACACTAACGTGCTCAGATTTCAGCCATGTTGGCCTGCCGATGCTAGTCTGCTAGGATCAGTTTTAACGTGTAATATGCTAAAAGCATGACAGAGGTCTTACAGGTGCTGGTGTCTACGAGGAACTGCAGTTTGTTTAGTTACAGTTGTGGGCACTGATTAATGCTCCACTAAAAGATTTTAAGAATATGAATGGCTAAATAGAAAAAGAAAAAAAAAGCGGGGAGATACTCAAAAACAGGGGCTTGAAGATACAGAAGAATCTACGCAGAGTATTTGTCTCTATAACATTCAGCTGCCCACGAAGCTCAGAGAGAGATAATACTTTCATTTTGAGAAAGAAGATTTAAATGTAACACCTAAACACACTATTTTTTTATTTTTTTCATACTTTGAGAATTAATTGTTCCAGTTTGTGACTGAAGTGCCATATAGAAGAAGCACCACCACATATCAGATGGAACCTTCCTAACAGCTAAGATTTGTCCCTGTTTGCTGTCTATTCAGTTCGGACCTTGGAATGAGTGTTAAGAGGATTTGGATCATGGTTTCCTGGCTTGTTTGCATGTAATGTTAATTTATGCACCCTGGGACAGTTTTTTTATGCATCATATGTCTATTCAGGCCCAAGCAGCTGTTGCCAAGAGCTCAGTCATTAAAGGCAGTGGCGATATGTCCCTGTTACTTCTGAAGAAATGGATGCCCAGGAGACTGTACTCAGCCTGGTGCAGGATATTTGGTTACACAAAAGAAAGTAGATGCATGAACCCTCCCACCCGTCACTCTTGCTCCACTGTTCTTTCAAAAACTGGCTGACTTGTAAGGACTTACAGAAGACCATCTGCTGAGCTTCTCCAGTCAAACTTAATTTTTATTTATTTATTTTAGAGAGTAAAGAAGACATGCTCCAACCTTTTGAAAGCGCATTTTGACCCCACAGCTAGAAGAAGATGCAATTTAGGATACCTTATACAAGATATCCAATACATTGACCAAGATCCTCAGAGCCAAGATGGCCTGTGGCAAATTCCATTTGGATAGATGTGACAGATCGCACAACCTTCCCTCTGCCGTTATTGCAACTCTCTCTGTGTTCATGAGATGCACATGCTTAATCTTGCTGTTCAAGCAGAAGGAAAAAGAAGAATTATGAAGTATTTCTCAGAGGTGGAAATGAAATAAGCAGCAAGAAAAGTATCCTGCTTCCACTTTGGAATTCTGGCACAACTTAGATAGGTGCTAACACTCCTGTAAGAGAGGCATCGTTCTCTAGTGCGACATGTATATGGAAAAGCTCGTCTCTATAAAAGATGGCTTGAAATGCAGCCAGAGTCAATAGCAAACTCCCAGTGTGAAAGCAAAGATGAAACTCACCCTTTCGTGCTCAAAATAAGTAAAAGAGTGTTTACATTTCCAGTTTGTTGGCAATAATCCAGCTGCAGGAAGGTCCGTTTCCCTTCCGTCTCTGCTCCCACACACCCGCCTGGCCAGGGAGGGCTGGGCACTGACCCCGGGCACGTCCGTACCCAGTGCTGCTCCTTCAGCACGCCGGCGCCGGGCTCTGAAGGGCTGGCGTGTGTGGTTGGGTTTGTAGAAGGGCTATCTGCTACCTCTGGCTGCTCTGCTCCTAACACTGCTCAGCCACGCTGTCCAAATGCGCTTCTGATGGCATAACTCTCCTGCAAATATTTTTCCTAAGAAAAAGAGCTACAAATTTGGGGCAGAGCGCTGCATTAATCATAGTTTAGTCATTTCCCTGGAGTATGCTGTCTGTAATGTGTGTGTAGTCCTCACAGGACAACTGACAAAGGAACTCAGTTGTGAGAAGAAAATTCAGCTGTGAGATTTAGTTAGTTTGGCTACCTGTTTTCCTGGCTTAGTCACCTCTTTTGGCACGTGTTTTCCTTTTTTCTTGACTGCTGTCTCATTCTTTCTTTTCACATTCTCTTTTCTTTCTACTTTCTTTCTGGGTTTTTTTTCTGACTTTCCTTTCTCTTCTTCACTTACCTACCCCTTTCCCTTTCACATAGCTCATATATTTATTTTTGTGTTGCACTTGGCCTCCTTTGCAGGTGTGCAGAAGAGAAGACGTTTGAAATCAAGCTCTCGGGTCCCGAGGCACAATTCTCTTGTAACTCCTCCTGGTTTGGATGGCCTTAAATGTTTGTGCCCCTTGACGAAGCTTGATTGTTAGGCACACCGCTCAGTGCCCACCGCAGCTGAGTGCTGCTGAAGTGCGCTGTAACGAATCTATCAAGGTTAACGATAGCCAGGGGATTCTCCCCATCCCAAAAAGCGTTGGCATTGTGTTATTCTCTTGTTCCTTGAGCGCGAGAGGGCCAGGTGTTCCGTTTCAGCGCCGCACGGTGAGGATGTGGTCGTGGCTCCCGGGCAGGCAATAGGCAGGTCCCTCGCCAAGGGCCTGGCAACTCTGCCGCCCATATGGCCGCGACGGAAGCGCTCTGCTGCGTTCGGATGGAGACGCCGCCGTTGCGTCTGCGCCCCCGTACCCACCCCGTGGCGGAGGAGAGCGACATTTTTACCAAAACTGTTGTCATTCCTCCTGCTAAAGGGCAACTTTATTTCTTTATCACCACCAATTCGCAAAAGCATTGGCCAGGAACTCAGCCCCAGCCGAAGTGAGTATGACCCCCGTCCCCTGAATTCTTTTGACGTCACCAGCCGAGAACGGCGCAACACGCGGCAACGCCCTGACGTTTCAGCCCCACTCCGAAAGGGCGCTCCCGGCACCTTTGCCCTCCCCGGGAAGGGGACGGGGACGCGGGCGGCCGCTCCGGGCCCGCACTGGGTGCCGGTGCCGGGGGGCGCGGGGAGC